TTAAGTAACAAAAATGAAATAGCCAACAGGATTCTTTACAATGACACTTCAACTTCAGGTTCTAATAGTACGTCGCATCATACTGTTTTAATATTGAGCTTCCGGTGACTGAAATGGAGTGGTCAAATCATTTTGAGAAAAATATGACAATTAGTAAACGCGAGGGGAATAATTATCCAGATTTTATAAATGTTACTAAATGTAATAACTGTACAATTACTATTCATTCATAATAATTAATAAAATGTATTGTTCATCAAATATTTCTATTTATTTGTTCGTAAAATATGCATTTATAACTCGAAACTTCCATTTCTACGGTAAAATCCACTTACCTCATCAAAAACAATGTATTAAAAGTCTAGGAGTAGTCTAGGAGGAGTAGCGTTATCAAACTCGGATGACAGGCATGTTGCGTTTGCATCTAGAAGTTTAAATACAGCAGACAAAAATTATAGTACGGTACACAAAGTGATGCTTCCATTAGTCTGGGCCATGTGTGTGCATTTGTAATATTAATTTATAATCAAATTGAGAAAACTAAAATAACTATTTTTGGAAATGTCAACAACTATAAAACATCAATCTGTATTTTCATTCGCACGCTAAGCGTGATCTATGTCGTTAAATAAAGAATATTAACAGAGAATTGGTGGAAAGTATTCAGTTATCTCCACGAAAACATTGGCAGTAGAACATTGAGTAGTTGGTTATCTCCACGAAAATATTGGTAGCAGAGCGTGGTTTGCTGTTAGGTGTGGTGGCTAGAAAGAGGTACCACTGGTGAAAAAAAAAACGTAAGTCTAAGCGACGTCCCCTGAACGTGACCGACTGAGGCAGATATACATATTTATCTGTGGCATACGTTGGATGCTGAGAGGAGATGAAGGTGCTGGTGTGTACTAGCGTTAAGAATCTAGAAGCGGACCAGGCAAACAGCTACCATCCGAAAAAGAGTATAGACAGCGGCGACGGCGCGAGAAGAAACGAGGTAAACTGTAGCGGTTCTCTGCAGGTGTCGGCCCGGCTCTTGTGTTGGCATATCTTTGTGTTGCGGTATTTGCTAAGTAAAATAATTGCGTTGTTTAAATAATAATAATAATAATAATAATAATAATAAAAAAGAAACGGATTTAGCTCAGCTAGTTAAAAAGAGAGGTACCTGTAAAGATAAATTGACTTTATTTGCAAAGTTTGTTGCTGATTTAAATGCTAAAAAAGAATTAAGTGAAGTAGATTTAATAGAGTTAGAGGAAATAATCACAGCTGTAGAAGATTGTAACGTAAATTTTAATCAGTTTCAATCTGAATTAGAGGAATATACTGACGATCCTAATGAGTTGGGAAACCACCTAAAAGAAAGAGAGTTATTTGAGAATAGCTATTTTTCAAATATATCGTTGGCACGAAAAATTATAAATGATCATAATCAATCCCACCAAGTCCCTCCTTCTGAAGGTACTCTTGGTCAGTCAGGCCAGCACAAATTACCAATTATTAAATGTACGTTTGCCGACAATTTCCTTGCCCACGATACATAAAAGGTTATTCCTTGCCTAAGTATAGCGGTTCATATCATAATTGGCTTGAATTTCGTGACACTTTTCAATCATTATACACGAAAATTTCACTTTGACAGGAGTGCAAAAGTTTCACTCATAGATTTAATAATATACTATCTATGGTTTCACTACGTCCGGCCTAGCTTGGATGGAGACAGACCTCAGATTATAAAGGCAGTTGAATTATTTCTGTCCAACTACGAAATGGCACGGAATGCACTTTTAGATAGGTATGATAGTGATAGGTTGTGTGGGGATTCTCCTCACATTGACTTCTTGGTGAGGTTGGAAAGTTCGAAGGACCGTGTTTTTTGCAATTCTTTATTTACAACCAACATAAAAGGGTTACATAAAACAGACACGTCTAAAAAAATTGACAGCTCGTTTCTTAATTTTTAAAATTAATTTTTTGTCACTTGTCAATAAACTTGGAGGGCTTGATGAGAACAGCGGAGTTAGTAACTGGCGACGCGCTATACTACAATATTCTCCCCGCCTTGAAGTAGTAAACTTCAACAAGAGCAGAAACTTGAGTATTGTACAAATTGAAACAGAGAAATTTAGCAAGAAGCAGTTTTTTTTTAATGATCATTTTGATAAGGTAGAGGACATATTTTTGTTATAGGTCTAGTGAAAACTCCCTTATCTGTCTGAAGTTCGATGACTCTAACTCTTCCATCACAGCCTGGCACGAGTTCCGTTAATCTGGCCAGTGGCCATTTTAGAGGGAGGGGTATTGTCTTCTTTCAAGAGCACCATATCATTTACTCTTGGATTTTCTGATGGGTGAATCCATTTAGGTCTGTTTTGAAGACGATTTAAATAATCTACTGACCAGCGCTTCCAAAAAGATTGTTGCATTTTGGAGCATCTTTGCTAGAAGGAAAGACGGTTTTCTGGAGTTTCAGTTAAATCTGTTTCAGGGTATGCTGTTAGATTAGTTCCAATTATAAAATGTCCAGGAGTTAAACATTGTAAATCAGAAGGATCATTTGAAATAGCACAAAGAGGTCGTGAATTTAGTATAGCTTCTATTTGAGATAGAATCGTGTTAAACTCTTCGAAAGTGAGGTGAGCATTACCCATTAGTTTGTACATGTATGATTTGGCACATTTAATGGCTGCTTCCCATATTCCGCCCCAGTGGGGAGATCTGGGAGGAATGTATTTCATTCAGAGATAGAAAGTCCGAGATAGAGTTGATATTTTGTTTGTTCTGGAAAATTTGTAGAGATCGTTAAGCCGATTTCTTGCTCCTACGAAGTTAGTAGCGTTATCGCTATAAATGAGGGAAGGATTACCTCTACGCGAGACGAATCTGGTTAAGGTCATAAGAAACGCTTCTGTTGATAAACTAGATACAACTTCTATATGCACTGCTTTTGTGACTAAACATACAAAAACTGCTATGTAACATTTGGTGAGTGGCGACTTACGTAGCTTAGTGGCTTTGGTTGTAAAGGGTCCACCAAAGTCAATCCCTACCTTTTGAAATGGTCGCGAGAATTGTACTCTGTCTTTTGGTAAGTTAGCCATGATTTGTTGACATGTTTGAGCATGAAACCGAAAACAAGTTACACAATGCTTTATGATATTTTTAATTTAACGAAGTCCACAAAGGGGCCAAAATTTGAGTCGAATGTTCGATAGAACTGTATGAGCACCTGGGTGACCTAGACGTCTATGTTCTTGGGCGAGTAACAGAGTGGTGATGTGATTTTTGGACGGTAGCAGTATCGGGTGTTTTTGCTGGAAGGGAATGTCTGCATTCTCCAGTCTTCCACCTACTCGCAAGAATCCTGAATCATCCAAGAAGGGATTTAAAGAAACTATGTTTTTGTTTGAAAGGGGTTTATTCGAACGTAATTCCAAGAGTTCTTTGGAAAAATTTTGAGTCTGAAGTGTTTTCAAAATGAGATTTTGAGACGAATCGAGTTCTGTCATTGTTAAAGGGCCAGATATTTTATTTGATTTGCTTCGACAAGAATGCATGAAGCGTAAACAATATGCCAATGTGCGTTGTAGACGAGAGAACTTCCAGAATTTTGAAAATAAATCAGACCAGAAAGAATCTTGCTCGGACGTTTTTTGAAGAGTGAGAACAATTTTTCTTTCTTCGGGAAGTTCGGACACTTCCAATGAGGGTTCCAAGTGTTTCAAATTTAAATTTGCACTTTGCAGAAATTGGGGACCATGCCACCATAGTGAGGAATTTACCAAATCATGGGAAGGCATTCCACGTGAAAGAATGTCTGCAGGATTGTCAGCTAATCTGACATATCTCCATTGGAACGATGAAGTTATTTCCTGAATTTGGAATACTCGATTAGCAAAAAAAGTAGTCCAACGATTGGCATGACTTTTGCACCAACATAAAGCGATTTGTGAATCAGTCCATAACTTGACAGAGTCAATGTTTACTTTGCCTTTAAACACAAACATAACTTTTTCAGTTAGCTTCACTAATAGTAGCATTGCACATAACTCTAGTCTGGGGATCGAGATTGTTTTTAAGGGGGAAATTCGAGATTTAGAAGTGAGTAAATTACATGACACAGTGCCGTCTGAGTAAACTGCTCGAATGAATATGCAAGCTGCATATGCTGATAGACTGGCATCTGCGTAGCCATGGATTTCAATAACTTTGATGGGCTTGTTTGAGAATATATGACAAGGAATTTTTAAATTCTTTAATTTCAAGATGTTCTCAGAGAAGCTTTCCCATTGATGGAGAATAGTGGGGTCCGTAATTTCTGCATCCCAATCTAGTTTTTTAATCCAGATTTGTTGCATAAGAATTTTTCCTTGAACTATTACCGCGTTTACCAAACCCATTGGATCAAAGCATTGCGATAAATATCTTAGAACAATCCGCTTAGTTACAGGGACATTAATTGAGATTTGGGGAATAGAAATATCTAGGGTATCTGATTGAGGATTCCATTGTACTCCTAAAACTTTATTAGGGAGATTATCTAGATTCATGTCTAGAACGAGAGACTTTCCTTGGAGAATTTCTTTGGAGAATTTTTCAGAATTGGAACACCATTTATGCAAATGAAATCCAGATTTACCGAGAACTGAATTCAACTCAGAATAGAGCATAGTTAAAGAGTCATAGTCATTGCAACCACCGAGAATGTCATCTACATAGCATTGATATAAGAGAGCGTTTGAAGCTAGAGGAAATTCAGCAGAGTTTGTATAAGCTATCTCGTTGAGGACTCGGGTTGCAAGATATGGAGCACAGTTGGTGCCATAAGTGACAGTTGAGAGTTCAATGCACTTTAGGAGTACTTGAGGAGAGTCACGCCAGAGAATGTTTTGCAAAAACGTTTGGTCAGGGTTTATTCTGACCTGCCTGTACATTTTTTCAACGTCAAACGTGAGAACATATTCATAGATTCTGAATCTACAGAGGATATCATACAGTTCTGGCTATACTTGGAAACCCTTTAGGGTCACATCATTAAGAGAATATCCTGACGAACTTTTGCACGAAGCGTCAAAAACAACCCGCAACTTTGTGGTTGTACTGAGTTCTCTGATCACACACAAATGGGGAATGAAATATTTATTTTCTAAATTAGAATTGGTCATTGTCAATGGGACATACTTGGCATGACCAAGGGCTATATACTCATCAATGAAGTCTTTGTATTCAGAGAATAATTTAGGGTTATTTTGGAAGCGTTTTTCAAGCATGGAGAATCGTTTTTTCGCTATAGAAAAAGAATCACCAAGTTTTTGATGTTCAGTGGGAGTTTTGAGGGGCATATTCACTTGGAATCTACCATCCTCCAGTACTTTCGTAGTTGCAATGAAATTATTTTCAGCTGCTTCATCTTCGTCGGATAGCGAAGATTTTTGAGGAATTTCTTCTACAGTCCAGAATTTGGTAAGGAGATTATTAGCAAAAGACTGAGAGTTATTTGAAATGCAATAGTTAGGGACATTTCCAGCCACTAACCAACCTAAATTGGTGTTTTGCAATACAGGCAATCTTTTTCCTAGGTATATTATGCCATCTGACAACAAATTGTAGTAGCAATCAGCACCAATAAGCATGTCTATATCACCAGGAGTACCAAATTCGGGATCTGCTAACTGAATGCCGTCTGGGATGTTTAATTTTTGTACATCAATATTGATTTGAGGGAGTTGGCACGTAATATCTTTTAGGATAGCGCATTGAATTTTGATTCTTCGTGATGAATCGACATTGGAATATATAAAAGTATTTAGCATTTTTGTTGAAGTCGCAACATTTTGGGCGATGCCAGAGATTCTAAGAAATTGCTCGACAGGTTTGAATTGAAGTTTGTTTGCCAAACCTTCAGTGATAAAGGAGTTTTGACTACCGTTGTCAAGAAGAGCACGTGCCTTAATGGGAATGCCCTCTTTTGAATATGCCGTGACTTGAGCTGTAGTCAACAAGATTTGACAATTTTTTGTGGACAAGGTTGCCACACTTTGAGTATTTTCCAAGTTATTACAGCTTGACGGCAGTGTCTGAGAAGCACTCTGACTGGCTGTATTCGAATTGCTTGAATTTTGAGAATTTTCAGCAGTATTATCTGTTTTTTGTTGAATGTGAAGAATACTGTGGTGTTTTTTCTTGCAAATTAAACAACTTTTAGTTGAATTGCAATTTCTTGCTTCATGTTTACTTCCTAAACAATTTGTACACATATTTTTCGAGTGAATGAATTTTGTTTTTTCTGAGGAAGGTAAATTTTTAAATTTAAAGCATGAGTAAATTTTATGGCCTGGAATGTTGCAATAAGCACACGAAAAGTTTTCATTTTGATTATTCTGTTCATTAGAATGTAAAGAAGTTTTATAATTGTTTTTCCTTTGAAACTGCGATTCTGTGCTGGACAAATTTTCTAAGATGACACACTTTTTCTCTAGAAAATTGAAAAATTCATCTAATGTAGGTAATTGCGTTACATCGCGTTCTTGTTCGAATGATCTCCTTGTGTTGTAATCCAATTTCTTTTGAAGTGAATGAGTTAAAAGTAATTCAAATAATTGTTCATCGGACAGTTTCAAATTTTTTAAACACTCCAAGTTCTTTTTACAAGTAGTAACAAATTGTCTTAAATTACTAGTTGTACATTTTACAATGGATGGAATTTCTAACAATGACGAAAAATAGGCATTTACAATACAATTTTTGTTTTCATATCTTTTTGTAAGAATGTCTAGAGCAATATGAAAATTGTCATTGGTAACTTTTAAAGATTCAATTAGTTTTAGAGGCTCATCTTTCAGGTATGATTTTAGATAGATAAAACGTTGTATATCTGTTAAGTTCTTGTTTTGTGTTATTAAAGCATCAAAAAGTTAAGAAAAAGATTCCCATTCGCTTTGATTACCTGAAAAATGGCTTATTTCTAAATTAGGAAGTTTCACAGCTGGGTTTACTGATTGTTGAACAATGGTCATTATGTTTTCTGACGAACTAGATGAAGAAGATTTTTTTAATTTTATCTTGAATTAAAGCCAAAGCATCAAAATATTTTTCTTCCATTTCCACTCTCTTTTCCGAGTCTTGCATTAAGCCTGTATTACCTTCTTCTATCAATATATCTTCAATTTTATTCTGAATATCTGTGCTTTTTTGAAATGCGTTTGTCAAACTTTCTTTTCTACAACTGAAGTGACTTTCATTTGATTCAGAATCTTTCTTTTCATTCAACCAATTTACTATTCGTGTAATAGAAGCTTTAGCATAGCACTTTTTAACTCGTTAAAATCCATTATTTTAATATTTAATTGTTGACAAGTGATTTACTTAAATATATGTAATTACGTTCGTAAATTGTCAAACGCGCACAAAACTAAATGACATTTATAGGTATTTGAAGTTTGTTCGAACAGCGGTTCCAAAAAGAGAGAAATTCACTGACCTTGTTGTTGATGAGATTATACCTGTCGAAAGGCTGCGAGCTTCCAATGTTGCTACGAATTGTACCTGAAACCTGGTACCGGGCGATAGCTACAATTGTTTTCTTCTCCGGTAAAGATCTGAGGCAATACAATACGTAGAACTGCGAGGACGTCGAGGGTTTCGTACCTTGCGTTTGCTTCTGTCTATCCACAATCTATGGGTCGCTAGTTTTCCAAATTATCCTATCCGGCTCGAAGGACCAACAAATGTGGGGATTCTCCTCACATTGACTTCTTGGTGGGGTTGCAAAGTTCGAAGGACCGTGTTTTTTGCAATTCTTTATTTACAACCAACATAAAAGGATTACATAAAACAGACACGTCTAAAAAAATTGACAGCTCGTTTCTTAATTTTTAAAATTAATATTTTGTCACTTGTCAATAAACTTGGAGGGCTTGATGAGAACAGCGGAGTTAGTAACTGGCGACGCGCTATACTGCAACAGGTTGCTTATATAAAACCATGTACGTGCATTGTTCAGTCTGGAGCAAATGACAAAAGAGCCCGCATTGGGCATTTGGAAAATTCTTGTTGATATTATACAAAACCTTAGGGCTTTAAAACAGGTGAGAGAACACGTGAATCACTGGGATACGTTGCTGATATACTTGGTCAGTTCCAGATTAATATAGATAAATAAGATAATCCGCACCAGTCGTTCGAAGACTAAAAATTTGTTTTAAGGTGCGTGCAGAGGTGCTAGAAGCAATAGCTAAAAATCATTTCAAACGTATTTCTTCAAATTCGCGAGACAATACACGTAGTAGTTCGCGAAGGTTTGTGGCTACACGGGACGCACAAAAAAAAATGCGTTATGTGCAGTGGTAATCACACAATATCTATATGCGAAGAAAGTTGAATGTTAATGATAGGTTATCCAAGGTAAGATATTTACGTTTATGCTTAAACTGTTTAAAAAGAGGTCATTTTAGTAGTATGTGTATGTGCCATGAGAAACCTCATATTCTATTGGACAGTACAAAATCGGATAGTAACGTATCGTCGCGGGCTCATAGTGAAAGTAGCGTAAATATGGGGGAAGCGAAACAGGTTCAAGAATATTTAAACGATACAGTATCGGAAAATGATGCAAACACAAGGTGTATTAGAAAATCTGATGATTCGATCGCGTTATCAGCATGTAGTGGTGAAAATGAAGTACTTCTTTCAACGGTTCAACTAAAAGTAGTAGATAAAGATGGCGGGGCACATATAGTACGTGCATTGTTAGATAGCGGCTCGCAGTCGAATTTTATTGCGCAAAAGTTGTGCAAAGTTAGATTTACCTACAGAAAAAGTAAATTTCTTGATGAGAGATTTAAATAAAAAATGCTCAGCCATTCATAGTAAGTGCAAAGTGAGATTGCAGTCTGTACATGTTAATTATGAGTCTGAACTGTATTGCTTTGTGCTTGATATCATAACCGGATGTTTGCCACAGGGCATGATCAATCCCGGCGAATTGGATATTCCGCCAAATTTAAGGTTAGCTGATCCTAATTTTTACAAATCAAGCACTGTTGAAATGCTCATCGAGGCTGATTTGTATTATGACGTCATGTGTGCTGGTATGATTACGTTAGAAAAGGGCCCGGTACTGCAAAAGACACGATTTGTGTGGATTGTTGCCGGTCCCATGAATAAGTTAACTTCAGAAGTAAATTGTTATTTTTCTCAGAATTTAGAATATACAAAGAGCGCGTGAGTTTCCTGAGTTTCGGGCTTGCTTGCAAAAGTTTTGACATTTAGGGGAGATTGATGTAAAACCGGTATTGTCTGATGAAGAAACTGCGTGGCAGGAATATTTTGTTAAGACAACAACACGTGATTCAGAGGGATGGTTTGTACTGTCGCTAACATTGAATTTACCTGTACTTAACTAAATTAGGTGAATCCACATTGCTGCGATTAGAACGCTTGAGAGCTGTGGTACTTACCAGGCAAGCAAAAAAGATGAAAGATTGGCTTAGGATATCATTCGATAAATGCTTCTTTTGGTCGGACTCGATGATCGCTTTGTTTAAATTAAAAACTTTTATTAGTAACGTGTCACGTGTCAAGCAAGGATAATCCGGCGGATATTCTGTCGCGAGGAGTCGCGCCTAAAGAAATAGTAGATTGCGATATTTGGTGGCAAAGAACAATCTTCAAATTGGCCGAATAGAAAAATCAGTTATTTTAATATGCCAGATGTACAGAAGGATAGTCGTGAAGTTTAGATATTGCAAAGAAGTGAATAAATTTTTAAGAGAAGTTTTCAAACTTAGGTAAGCTGAAGCGAGTGGTTGCGCGGATGCTAAGATTTGCAAGACAAAAAAAGAAATAAAGCGAGTTACTACTAGTTCAATTGCTTTGCAAGAAATAATAAACGTGTTTTTTACGCTAGTAAAATTTTCTCAAATTGAAAGATTTTCGAATGAAATGAAAATATTAAATAGTAAAGAAAAAATTTATATAAAAGTAGTAAAATAATTAATCTAAATCCATTTGTTGATGAAAATAGAATATTGAAGGTAGGTGGCAGGCTAGCTTATGCAAAGTTCGCCTTTGAGAAAAAAACATCCTATAATTTTATCTTCTAACTGTACGTTGTCTGCCCTCCTTATTAAAGATTTTCACGTAAAGTTATTACATGCAGGACCGAGTCATGTCTTAGCTAGCATTGGGGAAGAATTTTGGATCGTAGGTGGTAAGCGTCTTTGCAACAAAGTAATTTAATCATTGCATTACGTGTTACCGTTTTAAGGCTCTTACTTGAACCTCGTCTGAGTCCAAGATACTCATTTGAGGTTACAGGAGTTGACTATGCAGGCTTATTTATTTATTAAAAATAAGGCTGATAGAAGATGTCGGTTGTTAAAGGTGTACATTTGCTTATTTGTATGTTTTGCTGTAAAAGCGGTTCACCTGAAATTGGTGCATGAATTGACAAAAGAGGCATTTTTAGCTGCGCTGCACAGGTTTGTCTCCCGAGGCTACAAATGTAGCCTAATATATAGCGACAATGGAGCAAATTTTGTGGCAGCATCTCGCGAGATGCGTGAGCTAAGCGATTTTATCAAATTACATAGAAATGAGGTTTTCACACAGGAGGGAATTGAGTGGAAATTTATTCCTCCCCATTCCCCTCATTTTGGAGGGTAATGGGAGGCAGGGGTTAAAAATGTAAAATTTAATTTGAAACGAATATTTAAGGACGTCAATTTTATATTTGAGCAATTTTATACGATTTTAGTTCGAGTAGAGGCAATCTTTAATTCTAGACCGGTTCTAGACTTGTTTTGTTGTATCA